ATTTGTCTAAGTACAAAGAACAAATGTCCAGGAAGTGCTCAGCCCCCAATGGGACATTTTTTTGTTTTGTTTTGTTTTTTGTTTTTTGTTTTTCGAGACAGGGTTTCTCTGTGTAGCTTTGGAGCCTATCCTGGCACTCATTCTATAGACCAGGCTGGCCTCAAACTCACAAAGATCCCCCTGCCTCTGCCTCCCGAGTGCTGGGATTAAAGGCCCCTGCCACCAATGCCCGGCAAGCATGTAAAGAATTCCTTTTTTTTTTTCTCAAATGGGACATCTTGGTCACCCTTCAATCACCCCCAAACCCCAACTCAAGGCTCAGGGAAAATCATAGAAGAAGGGGCAGTAAGATTGTGAGATCCAGAGGCTGGAGAGGACTGCTCCAAATTGTATCTTCTGCACATTGCAGGGCTACTGTAGCCATGAACTCACAGCAGCTTTGGTTGTCCTCACAAGATCAAATTAGCAACATTCCAGCATGGACTAGGAGGGGCTTAGGAGCCCTTCTGTCTAGCTAAGGAGCTATTAACAGCTGATGGCTACTGGGGGAGGGAGAGTCAGTTTTCTTCAGCAGTATGACTCCATTTCAGTTGAGCACTATCCTGTAGATGGTTTCATACTCGTGCACATTTGAATAGCACTAGTTTTGGACTCCATGGGATATTTTAAAATACAGAGGAGGAGGAGGAAGAAAAGGTCATCGTTAAGTTAGAAGGTGGGTAGAGGGGCATCTGAAAGGAGTTTTTGAGAAGTGTCAGAGTAAATATGATCAAAAGGCATTATATACAGATATGAAATTATAAATGAATAGATAATGAAAATGCACAAATATAAAAAAGGTAAAAATAAAGGCATCAAAAATTAATATTTTTAAAAATCTTGGGCCTGATGTGGTGGCATGTGCCTTTGATCTTAGCACTTGGGAAGCAGAGGCAGAGCTCTATGAATTTAAAGCCAGGTTGGTCTACTATGAGTTTAAAGTCAGCCTGATTTACATAGAAAGTTCCAGATCAGACAATGAGACAATAAATAAAGAAACAAAGAAATAGATCTTGTTAACATGAATTCTTCCCATATTCAGTAAAATATTAGTATTTGATTTTTGAAGTGATTGAACCTGGCCATGCAATTTAAGTAATGTTACTATCATTACCTGCTCATACATGCTTTATGGTTTAGTGAATGCCAAAAATTTTAGAAAAATATAGGAGAAAACTAACCATCTCATTAAAAAACAAAACAACTCCATAATTTTTTCTAGCTTATCAAATTAATCAAGATTTCTCTTGATTATACAAGTAAGAGGAAAATGTTGTATCGGTACATTGAAACATAAAAATATGATTAAATCTTGCTTAACTGGAACGTTTTAAATGAACCACTTGGCTAAATTGAATTTTCAGGTTGAGCAGCAACCCCCTTCCTGTCCCAATATTTGTCATTAAATAACTTCCTGAAATTCTGAGCTGCCTTCAATTATTTTTGGAATTAAGACAGTATATATGTGAAATCAAATTAATTTATATATGTTATCCTCTGTCTGAGTTATAGGAAACTTAATATGAAAAAATTATAGAAAATGTCAGGTAGTCCTTGGATTTGGGGCTGCAATACACTCCTCTGGGCTTGGAGAGGCCCACACCACATAGGGAAGTGACACAGCCTGGTGGAGAAAGATATTATACCTGAACAGTTAGGATTTGTCAAGAGTTTAACTCCAACCAGATCTTGCTTTGTGCATGTGTGGGGAGGAACCCAGTTTGGAACAGGGACCTGGGTCCCACCTTCTTGGGTGACACCATAACAGGAAAGATTAAATTAATGTACTGAATTATAATGTGCCTGTGACGCTCTAGGGTTTTCTTGTGCAACTTCATGCACTAGCCAGTATTTAACTCTCCTCCTCCTCCTCCTTCTCCTCCTCCTCCTCCTCCTCCTCTTCCTCTCCTCCTCCTCCTCCTTTTTCTTCTTCTTTGTTTTTTTTTGTTGTTTTGGTTTAGTATCTTTTGTTTTTGTTTTTGTTTTTCGAGACAGGGTCTGTCTATATTGCTTTGGAGCCTGTCCTGGAACTTTCTCTGTAGACAAGGCTGGCTTTGAACTCACAGAGTTTCTCCTGCCTCTGCCTCCCGAGTGCTGGGATTAAAGGCATGTGCTTCCAACGTCCAGCTACATAATTAATCCTTCACTGGGGGATTTAGGCAGCAAATACTGTGGTCAACATGTGTTTTTAGTAACACACCATGAGTGGGTCAGGTGGCAGAGCCACAGGTATGGGGAGAAGTTCTTGAAGGCTGACAAAAATGTCATGAGACTATAAATTCTCAAGGCCATACCTGAGTCCCTGACATGTACAGGGAAAGTGGCTTTAAAGAAAAAGCTCTACAGATTTAGGTTCTGACTTATGTAAGCTCTTTTATGCTTGTTCCACAATAAAAGAACTTTTGAAACCAATGAGACCATATAAACAGAAGTGGTGAACCAACTGAACAAAAGCCCATACAAGCCAACAGCTAGAAGGTTTTTATATTCTCTGATGTTATCACTAAAGACACCAAAAGCTTTATAAACTTAGTAGTCAGGGTGAGAGACACGGAAATGAGCAACCCACAGGATTGATGCTCAAAGTGGGAAGTAAGTTGTGTTAGGACTGAATATTTGAGGTGATTCCTTATCAGTGTCTTTAAATTCAGTGGGTTCAGGGATTGGTTTTGCTTGTAAGTAAGGTACTTGGAATAGTATTTGCCCCACTGGGACCCCTATCACTGGAGAGTAACCAGCTAAATCAACTTGGCCTTCTGTCCTAGAGATTGTAAATAGAATGTACTAGAGACACTATTTATTTCCTCTCCCTCCAGTCCCTCCTCCCAACCTTCCTTCTTCAGCCACTCCATCCCCTCCTCCTTTTTTTTTCAGAGAAGGGCAGGTCTCCCATGTCTGTCTGCCAGCCATGGCATATCAAGTTGCAGTAAGACTAAGTATCTCCTCTCCTATTAAGGCTGGATGAGACAACCCAGTAGGAGAAGGGGCCCCAAATGCAGATAATAGAGTCAGAGACAGCCCCTGTTCCTGCTTTTAGGAATCTCACAAGAAGACCAAGCTACACAACTGTAACATATGTGCAGAGAGTCATTATTAATAATGGAGTCAGAAATTCTCCCATTTACCAATTTACCAGTTTACCATGTAAAGAGTTTCTTCTATTCTTAATGAAGTATTTTACTAATACTCTTCTACATAATGAGAGATAGTCAATGGACAAAGGACTTTTCCACTACCCTTATAGTACTCACACTCTGGTGGGAGCTAAACAAATAAATACATCCTGTATTTAAATGACTAGAAGCTACATGTCTTTTCAGTTTCAGATCTCTGGAAGAGGAATGTGTCTCATGACACCTGTCCAAGTAGAAGTCATTAGAAGCATTTTCCTATGGGAGCTGAGTCACAGACATTTAGAACCACAGATACAAATTAGGTACACTGTCAATACCAATAAGTAGAGCTTAAGTATTGTTTAAAATATCTTAAAAAGATGCTATTCTTTTCTGGCTGAAAGAAGAAAATGTTTATATAGACTAGACAGGCTCAGAAATAGAGCAAGTCAGCATATATTTCATACTAAAAATAAAAGGATCTCCTTTGAAGAATGACCACAATTCCATACTTCATGCTTTATAGATCTAGGAAAGAAAGATACCCACAAGTAAATGAAGCTGTGTTGCATTTTTTTGTTATTGAAATAGTGTGTGGGAAATGAATTGATATTGAAAACTGGACTTAAATCAAAATTAATCTCTAAATGTGAAGATGTCTTAATTATAACTGAATGAATTTATTTTGTTTCTATTTTCCTTCTTGTGTGTATGAAGGATTCATGTGGAGGTTTTTCTTAAGAGTACTTTCAATGAAAATAAAAACGCTTGAGTGATGAGAGATGTCAAGTTTATTTGTCAGAGTTTTGTTTCTCGAAGATTGTGTAAAATAACAGCACGTGTTTCTACTGATAAAATCTCTGAGTTGATGAAACTCAGGAGCCAGCTATTGTCAGAATTGAGTTCCTTAAAGAAAAACAGACAGGTAAAGGGAGAGAGAGGGAATAGGTGGACTATGCAGCATGCTAGGTAATGTTCCAAGAAACCCTGTCTAGCTGAGAGCTTTGTAAATAGACATAGTATAGAAGTGAGCATGCTGACACGTAGAAGTTTCCCACACAGGAGGAGATCCAAAAGCAAATGTTCTCCCGAGAGAACATGGGTGGATTGAGGAATAACAAGAGCTTCCTGTAGCTGGGCTGGAGTAAGAGGCAGAGGGATAAGGGTTGGTTCCATGAGACTTCGACAGGGCTACTTATGGGAGACCTTGGATTTTATATTTAGTGTGATGAAAAGTCATTGTGATTTTTAAAAGTTTTAAATATTTCTATGTGTACGTGCTTGAATATGTGTACCACGTTCATGAAGGAGCCCATGAGGGTCAGATAAGCTATTGGATCCTTTAGAACTGGAGTCATAGATGGTTCTGAGCTGTTCTGGGAGTGGGAGGTAGGAACCTAAGCAGATTCCCTGCAACAAGTTCTCTTCACTGCTGAGCCATCTCTCCAGCCCATCTTTTTAAAATATTGAAAGCTGAATAAAGAATAATGTAGGTGGCAATTTAGGAGGCTGTTGCAATAACCCATAGCAGCTAGTATTAAGCGATTAGATTTCTAATGCATTTTTGAATGTAGAAATCATAGAGGTTAGTGGTACTAGAGAAAAAGAAATAATGAGTCATGACTCCAAGATTGAGTGATGAAATGTTTTACTGAAGTAGGCAAGACTCCATGAGAAGCAATCTGTGAGGCATGTCAGGGAGGTGATTAACAGATTAAAAATTTAGGCATCTAAAAGGAAAAGTAAATACCCAATCCAGTACAAAACTCTCCGATGATAGCAGGGGATGTCAGCAGAGTGAACCTAGGACCTGATGCCATCAGACAGAATGAGATCATGTAAGAGTGAGCATGTAAGAGTGGGCAAAGGGTCTGGGAAGGGGCCGTCTGTGGGCGCCATGTCGGGCCACGAAGGTGGCAAAAAGAAGCCCCTGAAACAGCCCAAGAAGCAGGCCAAGGAGATGGACGAGGAGGATAAAGCTTTCAAGCAGAAACAAAAGGAGGAGCAGAAGAAACTCGAGGAGCTAAAAGCCAAGGCCGCGGGGAAGGGACCCCTGGCCGCAGGTGGAAATTAAGAAATCTGGCAAAAAGTAAGTTGTTCCTCTTATCTTCCATGATGGTGACCCTCCTCCATCCCTATTTAAACATCTGGATACCCTGCCATAACATCTTTGCCACCTACAGCTAGGATGAAGTGTTATTCTGGAGCCTGTTAAACATCTGGATTCCCTACTATAACATCTTTGCCACCTGCAGCTAGAATGAAGTGTTATCATGGAGCCTATTGTACATTGTAATAAACTTTTGTAAAAAAAAATAAGCAAGTAAAATGAATAATACAAAAAAAAAGAGTGGGCAAAGGGAGTTGAAGAGATGGCTCAGTGGTTCCAGGGAACCATGTTCAAATCCCAGCACTCACATGGCTGCTCACAACTTCCTGTAATTGCAGTTACGAGGAATTTGACACCCTCACGAAGACAGACATACCTGCAAGCAAAACACCAATGCGCATAAAATAAGCATAAATAAGTCATTTAAAAAAACTGGGCAAAGAAGACATAAAAGAGGAAAGCAGCCAGTAACTTGGGGGGAAAATTCAGGAGGATTTGGATGCCAAGTAAAAGGAACGTTTCAAGATTATACGAACTTTGTCAATATTGCTGAGAAATCAGTTAGGATGAGATCTGAGAAGCGACTTTTGACTTAAGCAGTAGGAGCATCTTCGACAGGAGCCATGTCAGTGGACTAGCAGCGATTCATGAGAAAATGAGAGAGAGAGAGAGAGAGAGAGAGAGAGAGAGAGAGAGAGAGAGGTAATGTTTAGAAAGAAAGATAAGCAGACTATCTGAAGGGGGATGTGAGGCCCAGGGTTTTTCCCCCATTCTTCATTTTAAAATTTTGGAAATGTTCTGAGTATTTAGTTGTGGTTGATGATGCAAAACTAATCCAGAACTCAGGAGAGAAGATCAAGAGTTCAAGGCCAGTCTGGCCAACATAGCAAGTGTGAAGTTAGCCTGGGGTACATAAGAACTCTTCTAAAACATCAGCAACAGCAGCAATAAATGAAAAGGAGAGATAATATTCTCCTACACATTGACAAATTATATAAGAGCCTTAGAAAATACGTTTCCGAATCTATGTAATATTGGAAGGTATTTCTCTCTATGACTTTGCATATTGTCAAGTAGAGATACAGATTCCTTTTATTTCCAACTAACTTTTCATGGATGTTGACATGATTGACAGTCTTAGAGGATGCACACATCTTCCTGTGGAACAAAGGGGAAGCCTAGACAGGGTCCCTCCTGTCCTGTACACCGCCTATGACCTGTGCAGGATTCATCTGTATATGACATGGAGGCAGGGAACTGCTGGTAAATATGCTGATAGCCTTTGCTGTGTTCTGAGAAGAATGTTCTTTCTTTTTGACCCAAGAGTCATGTGTCTTCTATCAACAACTGTGAAACTGCAGTACACTGCTACTATATTAATGTGCAAATATGGTAAGATCATAGGCCACTTTTACTTTGACACCATAGTCAATACTACATTTGTGCATACCCAAAGTGCATACATTCTATACAGTTTTTGATTTTCTAGCCACTTTTAGCAGCTATAGTACAAAAGGAAAATATATAGAATATCTGACTTAATTGTAAGTTGGGTTTGACTTATAGGTAGACTAGTGAAGGCAGGTCCTTGTGGACCTGAGAAACCACTGAAACAGCTTTGGTTGGTGTGTGATAGCAGAAGAATGGTTTTACAGTAAGGTGTTTAATACTGAAATGTCAAACATGTCGGCATAATGAATGATTGGTCTCCATATAGATGATAATATCACCAAAAATGAGGACCAGTGCAGCAGCAGGGAGGAGGTAGTAGGATAAACCTCCCTTGTGTTTGGGCAAAGTTGCAGATGGCTCCTATTGTCTGACAGAGTTGCTGCCTCCTCATCCACCATGTGCTGCAATAGAAATTAGGAAGTCACACTGGCCATAGGACCAGGTAGGCAATTTTCATTCTTTCTCCTCTCCTCCTGTTCTAATCCTCAATCTTATCCCTGGCTCTATAGCAAAACACCTACCGTGACCTAGCCTTCCTCTCTGCTCCCATTCCTAATCACTCAGATCTCTTACAGCCATCCTCAGCGACCAACCCCCACAGGCACTCCCTGAAAACCCTCTGAACACACTGGCCATGGAATAAGTTCGGCAATCTTCACTCTCCCTCCTCTCCTCCAATTCCAATCCCCCAGTCTCATTCTCACCTGCTGCAGCCTCCCCTGTAGTTGAGCTTTTCTTTTTGGGCTGCCAGTTCTCAAAGAATGATATAGAGAGTTAATCAATCATAAAAGCCGTGGCTTAGGCTTGTTTCTAACCAGCTCTTATAACTTAAATTAACCCATAGTTTTTAACCTATGTTCTCCCACATGTTCATTAACTCACCTCCATTATGCCCATTCTGATTATTCCTCATCTGGCTAGTGACTCTCCTTTCTTCTTCCCAGAGCTCTCTCTGACCAGAAGCCCTGCCTATACCTCCCGCATAGCTACTGGCCATTTAGCTTTTTATTAAACCAATCACAGTGACACATCTTCACACAGTGTAAAGGAATATTCGACAATATTCCCCTTTCTCTGTGTTCCCATTTCTAGGATACTATGTAGTTCCTAGTGGCACACCCTGCTTTGTTTACTCCTTTGGTCCCTCTCAGCCTCCTTCCACCCCAAACACATCCCCATTCCCCAGTGTCAACTAGCAATACCTAGAAACACATTTTCCCTAGGGTCCCTAGTGATGACACCTGTTAGGATCGTAGAAGTATTCCCTTCCAGGCAGCTCACAACCTCCACACTCTCCTAAGAACCAGAGGCTGTAACAGAAACCAAGGTATGGAACACCTATCCAAGAAAGACAAGGCCAGATATCGGCACCTAAAAGTATAATCAGCTCAAACCCAGATACCTAGACCCAAGGTAAAAACACAATAAACCATCCAGAACAATATAGCTTCACTGGGACCCAACACCCTACTACAGTGGGTCCTGAAACTTGCAACATAGCTCAAGCACAAAGCAGGGCTTCAAAATAGCTATTAGGAACATGTTAGAGGTCCTTAAGGGATGATATGAATTAGTCTACTAGTGAAAAAAACAGATAAACAATAAAATGAAATAAAGAAACCTGTTCGAGACATGAAAATGGAAATCAAATCAAAAGAAAATCTAAACTGAAGGTAATTAAAAATTTATGAAATTGAAATTTCATAATTGACCAAATGAAAAATTTATGAACTACAAACTCTAAGAAAAACACAGGTGCTAGTCCAGACTACTATACCCAGCAAAACTATCTATCAAAATAGATGGAGAAAGAAAGATTCTCCATGATAAAACAAAATTTAAGCTGTCCCTATCTACAAATTCAGCCCTACAGATGGTGCTAGAAGGAAAACTGCAACCGTAAGAGGTTAACCACACCCCCAAAAAGACAAGGAATAATCTCAGATGAGTAAATCAAAATAGATGGAAAAACTCCACACCACCACAGCAAAATAATATAAACCAACAGACTCTACTCATTGATAACTCTTAACATCAATGGTCTCAGCTCCCCAGTGCAAAGACACAAACTGATAGATTGATTTAAAATAAATAAATAAATAAAACAACTAGAATCTACCATTCTGCTGCATCCAAGAAACACACCTTAATATCAAAAATGGACATCACCTCAGGATTAAAGGATGGAAAAAAAGGTATTTTCAAGCAAATAGAAATAAGAACCAAGCTGGTATAGCCATTGTAACATCTGACAAAATATAGACTTCAAGCCAAAATTAATCAAAAGAGATAGCAAAGGACTCTACATATTCATCAAAGGAAAAATCCACTGAGAGAATATTGCAATTCTTAACATCTGTGCACCAAATACAATGGTACCAAAATTCATAAAAGTAATACTACTACAGTTTAAATCACTAATTGGCCCTCACATAATGATTAGTGGAAGACTTTAATAAGCCACTCTTACCAAAACCACAACTGAATAGTAATTCTGGAGCTAGCCAGGCATTGGTGGCACAGGCCTTTAATCCCAGCACTAGGGAGGCAGAAGCAGGTGGATCTCTGTGAGTTCGAGACCAGCCTGGTCTACAAGAGCTAGTTCCAGGACAAAAAAAAAAAATCTGGAGCTAACAGATATCAAAAACAAAATTCATATAACAGATATTTCCAGAATATTTCACCCAAAAAGAAAAAGAATATACATTCTTCTCAGTACCACATGGAATTTTTCAAAACTGACTACATACTCAGACACAAAGCAAGCCTCAACAGATACAAGAAAACCGAAATAATTCCCTGAATCCTATCTGACCACCACAAATGAAAGCTGGACACTACCAACAACCAAAACAACAAAAAGTTTAAAAACTCATGGAAACTTAACAACTCACTATTATATGAAAAAATAGGTCAAGATGGAAACTAAGAAAGAAATTAAAGATTATTAGAATTGAATAGAAATGAATACACAACACACCCAAACTTATGTGACACAAGTGAAGACAGTTCTAAGAGGCAAGTACATGGCACTAAGTGCCTACATAAAAATATCAGAGAAATCTCATATTAGTAACATAACAGCACATTTGAAAGCAAAAAGAATAAATTACTCCCAAAAGGAGTAGTAAACCTCGGTCTCTTCATCTCTAACAAAGATCCAGCTACGTTGTTAGAGCACGAGGTTGCTTTAAGGCTATAGACAGATAAAAGTGCCTAGCACAGGGAGGCCCTCGACAAACTGCAACTATTGCTATCATTTACCTTGTTTTGGAAAAACAAAAGACAAAGGAGAAACAGGCACCCTGAAAACCAGGAGGCCTCAGAAACTCCCATGGCATAGTACTGGCCCAGGATTTCCAGCAAACACAGAATCACTGAATGAACTGACAGGTCCACTTTTGAGGCTGCCACAGATGGATGTCAAGCATTTCTTTTACCCATACTACCCATTTGTACAAATGGAGGATACATTATAAGAAATAACTAAACCCAGGACTAAAATCAATAAATAGAAATAAACAAGCAAATTAAAAACTAAACAAACAACAACAAAAACAAAAAACAGCCTGGGGGTGGTAGGTTAAAAACTAAACAAACAACAACAAAAACAAAAAACAGCCTGGGGGTGGTGGGGCACATCTTTAATCCCAGCAGAGGCAGGCAGATCTCTGTGAGTTTGAGGCCAGCTTTTCTACACAGAGAAACTGTGTC